GCTCAATTATAATTTAATTGCTACATTATGATGAATATGTGTTTATGTGATGGAATTATATGCTTTATTGGTTGAATTGAGAAGTTCTAAGAAATGTTATTATAAAAGAAGCAATATATTATGGTGCATATACAACAATATTCTAGTTGCTAAAAAGCCATGCTCTTGGGCTTATGGACATGTTCTTGTAGCAAAATATCATGTTCTGATGCCTACAAACATGTTTTGGTACTATAAGCACATTAGGACTCATAAGGAATCAAAATACTTAAATATTTTGCTTGAGATCAGAGAACTTTATTTTGTTCTATTATGCAATATGAATTTTAGTTTATTTGACAACTCATTATTATTATTTGAATCTTTGGATAATTGATCTGCTCTTATTATTTTGCTCAGCACAATGATTTATTATATTGCATTTAAATATTCTTAAAAATATTAATACAAATATTTAAAATTTTAGATTGGTGTTTATGGTTTGCTTAACTATTTTAGCTCGTTATAATTTTACATTTTGTTTTTAGGGTCAGGTAAAGAGGATCCTGTTGATTAGCCATTCAGGATCTAGTTTGAGTCCATAGCTACTTCTGTTAATATTTGCACAATCATAGCTAGTTTTATTATTCAGTTCTTTAACTTTTGTTCATAGTCATGCATCGTGACTGTATATACATTTTGATGATGAAATGAAAGAAATTTTATGGATGAGTTTATTTCAACACTTTGAATATTTTTAGTAGCTATGTATTTATTTATTTTTAGCAAGGCTTTAAAAATCGGACTGGACCAGCCGGTTCAACCAGTTGAACCAGAAACCGGCTAGCTGGTCGGTTACTGTTTGCTCCAAAACCGATTTCGCAGAGAACCGTTGCCGACCCGTTCAAACTGACAGTTCAACCGTCAAACCGCTAAACCGATTCTAGTTTTGAAAATCGGGCAATTATTTTAAGGATGTTTTGAACTGTTGAGATTAAATCAGATGGCTTAAAGTAAAATAAAATAAAGCTTATACTCTTTAAAATTATAATAACTATCTTAAATTTATTTTATTTTCAGAGCTTCACCAATTACAGGTATAAACTATAAGATCTCAAGATAAATTTTAATTTCATCTCTCAAGTTATGACTACAAAGAGGTCAGTTGCTCAAAATAATAATGTATTTAATTTTAAACTTACAGAATTTATTTTTTATGCTTTTTAATTGCTTCATATTATGATTTTGTTCTTTTTTTGTTATATATTTACAAATGATTTTGTCACTTTTATAATATTTAAATATAATAAGTATTTATTACACCATCCAATTCGACCCTGATCGAACCATCGAACCGCTAACCTCTCCTTTCGATTTGTTATCCGGTCCAATTTTCAAAGCCTTGATTTTTAAAACTTTAAATTAGAAGATGAAATCTGAAAAATTTTCAAAATTAGATCTTGAGATTAGCCTATCACAACTCAATACAATATGACCCGTCCCATAAGTAGGTCTTGTCGGGTTGGGTTGTGAAAGCTTTTATGGTATTAGAAATGTAGTTTTCAATATCGATCATAACACAAAGCAATAGGAAATTGATTTGTAAGTCAAGTGGGATAATTTTGAGTCTTTCTGGGTGTTCTTTTTATTTGTTTTCATGTGCATACGTGTTCAATTATATATTCAGTGTGATTATGGATCCGTCAGACCCAGATATGATATATGAACAAAGTGCCAGTCAGGTAGCACCTATACATAGTACAACTCCAACAATTAGTTCTGATACAATTTCCCAGTTTGCTAGTGTGATAGCTCAGATGATGGGCTAAGCACAGAGTAGTCCCTGCCGTTCGATCTGATGATACAAATAGACATCTGCATATATTTTTGAGATTTAAGCCTCCAAGGTCTAAGGGTGTTGTTAAGCTGAGGGCTTGTGACAATGTTTGCAACACAATTTGCGAGTGCAAAAAAATCTAATAAGTATATTGTTATACATATAATGTGACTTTTGCTGATGATTCTAGAAATGTGCATTATTTAAATACTGCATTAATATCATAAATTAGTTACTCTTGTATTCATGATTGTATGGCATAGCATTAGAAAGGTTTTGATATGTCGAAAAGAGCACTCTTTGATATGTTATAAGATCCTTATATGCTCTATTATGGATCCATCTGTCTAGTATGGATGTGAGAGAAATTTTGGCCGAACTTCTTGAAAGCATGTGTGAGAGATTATGTGGTAAGATTCTATTTTGATTTTTATCCCACTTGCTATTGGCAGGTGTGGGGGTTAAAAGGAGACACAAGTGAAAGTGGAGTTATAAACAAATATCAAGACATATGCATTATATTCATTGCATTACATATAATAGTTTTAATAAATTAAGCACAAATAATGCTTTGAACCGATATTAGAAATTTCTAAATTTTTGTATAACTTTGAGGAAATAAACAAGTTAAGGGTAGCTGAAAGACGAGTGTTTTGTAATGTATCTATGAACTCAAATATAAGTAGTAACCCTAAAATTAAGTATACAATGAAACTATAGCAATTCATATTTTGTTTACACTTTAATTATTTTTTGCAAGTCTAGAAGCTCCAAAATTCACACCCAAAATATGAGACATTGCTAGGTTGCTATCCAAAGAATTTTAGCAAGAAGAATTGCTGTCTTGCCCTCCGGAAATCAACTCCTTGTTGCCCGAGTGTTCCCGATCCCTCCTAGTAGTTGTCCACTCATGTATGGCAGATCCAGAATGTGACCACAGGTTTGTTTACAACGATCAACGTCAAGTTGATATCCTCAAATCACCATTCTTCGACCTCAACTTAGAAATTGATCAAATCGTAGAAGAGTACATTGAGAGGATCGTCTTTACCCTCACCGCCGCTATCGACGAAGAACTCTCTTCCGTCCAGTGGCAGATCGTTTCTAAATCTTGATCAAGTTGAATTTCTTCTCATTAATTTGTGGTGTCATAAAGGGTTGTGCAACCTATCTCCGTCTAGCCAATATCAAGAGTGCAAGTGAGTAGGATCCAAGTAGTGCTTAATCTTATTGTTAATTCAGGGATTTCCTTTGAAAATCCCTCATGTTATGCTAATCTTTATTAGGATTGATTATTCATGATTCTAACGTTTACATGTAGTTTGGTCTAAGCTTTAATCATCTCTCTATTATTTTAATACTTGTTTAAATCATTAGAAGCTAACATAATTATTATTGCTCTAATTCAAAAGACGTGTAATTTTAACATTACATAATTTTTCATGCATTCTAGTTCTACATCACTTGCGACATACCGAAGTCAACCAAATCTCGCCTTACATAACTCAATATACACCACCTTACTCATATCAACTATTATCACCTTCTTTTTGACCTTGCTAAATTTCCACACATAGGCCTCCACTATTTCTCATTAGCAGAGAAGAGCCTTCCATAACTTTTGACTATCCACATTAGCATGCTTTGCAGGGCTTGACTCGGTCATCTCTCATATGAGAAAGTGTGACCTTATTAATGCCCATCATTGCTATTTATAGCCAAAGATGGCACAAAGGTCAAATAAATTTCATTATGAGAATATTGTACAAAGATGCTCTTCTTGAGGCAATAGTAGAAACATGATAGTAATTTTTATTTACTTTCTTTGTCATTTTGTGGGGATAGTAGCACTTTCTTATTCCCTTATCCTTCTTTAGCTCTTCAAAAGAGCAAGTGAATGAAGAATAGTAAAAAGTATATGCCCATGTAGGTAACTTGCTAGTACCACATATGTGCACACCCGAGAGGCCTGACCAGGAGATACATTTTCCCAAAGCAAGCATTTCCCTAAGGGGTGTCGCCAAAACAAGGCTACGGACAAGCAGAGATTTACCCTAGTGGAGCTCGCAACATATGGGCTCACCCCTAGAGGATCAAATCAATGATGCACCTATGCCCGATGGATTTGATTAAATGAATTGTCTCAACAAGCTTTCACCCGAAAGAGCACTCCCTTAAAAGACCAGGCTTCCTCAATAATCCTCCTAAGTTAAAGTTGTCTAACTTATGCAGATATCTTAGTCCTACCTACAGGAGACACACACCTACCAAACCCACCGATATGGATTTGTCAAACATGATTCGTCCCCTACTCACTGCCACACTCATCTAGGAGAGTCATTGCTCATTCTGAGGGACTTATCGGTCATCCAGGAGGCTTGCCCCCTCAAACTTTCCCAAGGAACTTGCCCCTGAGAACTCGCCATGGAACTCGTCATGGGCATCTCAAGCCACATCAAAGGCAAAGGGCCGCATGCGTACCTCTCAGCCCATACCACGTTTGTCTCAGTCAATAGGAAGATTTTATTTGGAAAAAAAATAGGAAAATCATACATGATATATTAAATAAAGGGTTAATAGGTATATTTTGGACTTCATGTCATCTTTGTTGTTCAAAGAAATCACTTATTCTCTCATCTACACTCTATACTTGCTGATTCCCTCATCCTATTCTCTTCCTCTAACTATCTAAAATTTTTAGTAAGGTCAGGTGTTGCCCATGAACAAATTTGGATCCAACACAAGGCTATGATAGAATCAAATTAGTTAAAAAGAACACATTCGTGAGGGTTTTTCTCACATTGGAAAGAAAGCCGAATAATCACCTTTTCAATATTTTTTTTAGATAGGAAGATTTTTTTTGGAAAATATGTGCCTAAATTCTGTCAATGGTCCTCTGGTTGCCGACATTACTTGAAACTTCTCTAGCTGGTAGAATGGGCAACATTATTTGAAAAAGAATTACCATGCAACACATACGGGAGTCAATAATAAAGTTCATGAAATCAAAAATGCATGTATGCACGAAAACAAATACGGGGAGTCAATAATTAAGACTGCAGCAGTTTCTATTTTAATATAACTACCTTGATGAATCAAATATAGAAAACAAATAAAACTCAAATATAACAATGAAAAAAAAATGCAAATTATTAGTTAATGAATCAAAAGGCTCATACTTTACCTCTCGCAATGCACGATCCCATACTACAGCTTCACGATTGGCATCGGAAGAGGCAAACATGGAAGCATCAGGTGAATACTGGATGAAAGTAATAGCTCCTCGGTGTTTTTCTAGGACTGTTTCTTCCTTGAACATGTCCCTTTCAATGGCATATATGCGAAGCTTTCCATCTTGGCTACCAACAATGGCCTCAGACCCATCAGGTGAAACTGCTGATGCTGTGGCAGCATAACCAAGATTTACCGTTGATGCCACTGCTGTGCCCCGTAACAGGACAAGCCCAGAATCGGTAGAAACAAAAGCAAGGTCAGGGCACTTCAAAATGAAGCGTAAATTGTTTGGTTGAAATCCAACATCAATAGGTTCTGCCTGTCCACACTGACTTTCATTTAAAGGAAGTCTATGTACCTGATAAAATAATAAAAAATATTAAAAAAATGAAGAGAAAACTTTGAAATACATATTCATACAAAAGCTAGTGTCTTCACATTGACTGAGCATAAAATTGCAAAGACAAAAAAACATCAAAAAGCTAGGCAGTCCTTTATGAAATCTATGGTTGAAAGTGTTGAATGCATGACAAATTAAGTAACACAGTTTGTCTCCCAGATGGATTAAGAAATGTGGATGGTGGGGAGCATAAGATTCTTACAAGAAATCACCCAACTGTATCGTTTGTGCCCCAACAAAAAAGTTTCACGTTGAAATAACTTAAACATTTCTAGGCCCAATGCTGCTCATATAGGCTGATAAATAACTGAAGTTTCACATGAAAGGAAATTAAATGAACACATATGATACTGGAGGTTGGTGAACTAAATGTCCGCAGAAGAATTGGATGGCTTACAAAATTAATTGCTGAAGTCAGATAAAGTTAATTGGACGGCAGAAAATGTAGGACTCCTTTGACTTTGACAGAGGTGGGAGATAGGCAGGTGATAGGTTCAGCCTTTGTGGATGATACTATTACAAAGATCAATTTGATTAGAGAAATGTTGAAATCTGCACAAGATAGACATAAGAAGTATTACAATTAGAAGCACATGTTGGTTGAGTTTCAGATTTGTGACATGATTTATGTCAAAGTCAACCCTATGAAAGGTGTCAATAGATTTGGGACAATTAGCAAGCTTACTCAAGGTAAATTGGACCTTTTGAGATCATTGAGAGGATTGATAATTCTGCTTACAGGTTATTATTACCTGATCATATGTCCGATATTGTTAACCTCAATATCATAGCCAGAAGACATAAAAAGATGTGGCTTAAAGCGTACCTAAAATCCGACCGAATTCGTGCAGAAATCCCGCAAAATTGCTGTAGCACGGCGCCGTTCGAATGACCTGCGGAAATCCTGTTCAAATCCTGCGATTCGTAGCCACTCTCGTCGTTAAATAGAGAGCGAACGAAGCTTCAGGAGTTCTTGGCTGATTCGCTCCTCCCACGCGATCGAGCTCCCATCACTGCTTCAATCTCCCTCACACACACGCGCAAGCTCCCATCCGATCCTCCCTCATCTCTGATCACAAACCCGCAAGATCCCTGCATCCCGCCGATTTCCACCTACCCAGCCGAAGCTTCATCTGGCTGATCCTCTTCCTCCTTCTAGTCTAGCCGAAGCTTCATCTGGCCGATCCTCTTCCTCCTTGGAGCATACCATTGCAGCTGGTGAAGAAAAAGATGTGAGAGAAATAGGGGCTCTATGTCATCTTCTCCTTAGTGAGGCATGAATGACAGGGGAGAGATTCAAGCAAGGTTTTCAGCAAGAAGCTGCAGTGCTTTGGCAACATCCTTGAAAGGGCGCTTTTTGAATGTTTAAATACCGGCAGTAGTTTTTTTTTTTTTTTTAATACCGGCAGTAGTTCACAGCGAGATTTGCAAAAGCTAGGGCAATATTTTTTTCTTTTTGGAACAAAACTGATGATGTATCAGTGAAACCTGCCACACCATGGTAGCAGGGGGGCACCCATACAGAACCCTAGAGCTACAAACGAATCTCATCTATCTTTTCCATGGGTAAATAAAGAAATTGATCATTATTGTTTTCATAGAGGGCAGGTAAGTAACCAAATTCCTTTAAATATTTAGTTGTTTACGTTTTCTGGTGTCTACTTTCTTCAAACATCGAGACTGCCTGAGCATTTGCATGTGAACATTTTCAAACTAGATTGGAAAGGGTTTGCACTTAGCATGTAAACCTCAAGAAAACCTTTGGCTAGAAGTTTGCAATTTAGAATTTGATTGCTTGTTATCATAAGAAAGAAGCACTTTCAAGAATACTGCCACAGGTAGTGAATAACCATATCATGTAGCATCCCACAAAAAAAGTGAAGATGACAAATCAAATGAAGCAAAAAGTCATGGAAATGTAGTCAGATAAAAAAATTACATTTGCATGTTTCTATAATTACTATTACATCAAAATAATAAAAATATCATAATGATGAAGAATAATCTGGGTCAATAAAGTTAAAACCTGTCATGAGAGCAAGTAATGTTTTAGTATGACTTACTTTATTATCAAAGCCCGAAATAAGAAGCTCTCCTTCAGTTGCAGAAAAGCATTTAATCTGACTGTTTACCTTCCTATGTATTTTTCCACCATAACCTATGCCAGGAACCCATTTTATGATGGCACCATCATAGCTGGTAGACAAGATGGTTCTCTGACCACTTTGCAGCAAACAAGACAAACCATTGATGCTTTTCATGTGTCCACAAAAAGATGAGGGTGGCTTCTCTGGATCACTAGCTGAAAAAATACATATCATTCCACCAAGAGAAACAGTGACAAGATGGTCACCATGCCATAGGCAGCCAACTTGCATGTCATCCACTCCACCAGAACTAGGGCAAGCAAGTGTGCATTTCAGTTTACCATTTCCATCGTCCATGATGTCCCACACTTTTGCAGTTTTGTCCGCAGACACTGTCAAGACCTACATAAAACAAAAATAAAATACGGCAAATTCATGTAAGTGAAGATTAATAACATTAGATATGCACAAGAAAAACAAACAAAAACTGTATAGATTCGACTTAGGGATCAATTGAGAAGTAAAATAACTTTAAAAGGAAGAATTACAAAAATTAGAATGGTTTGTATAAGTGATAACATCATGCAGTAATACAAACAATGTGTGTGACCAACAGAAGGAATAGAGTAGCGCATAGTAGGTTTGTTTATTACCAACCATAGTTCTAATGTTTGAATTAGTTTGTAAAGATTTAAAACATCTGGACTACCTTAGAAATGGAAAAATCAAATATTCAAGCTTTCTCCTTCTTTTTATTGCATGTTAATATCAGCATCTCCTAGTGTACTTTACATGCACTTGCTTTATGATCAGCATCTCCCAGTGCTCTTTTGTCTTCCTGTAACTATCCTTCGAAGATTTTGGATGCCGCAAGGTCTTGTTAGAGCATCAGTTTCACTTACAACCTCTTTTCTTATTGATAAGATGTTTATCCTCCTAAGTCATAACTTCCTTGAAGCCTTGATGGGTATTGTGACATCACCATCCCGCTAACCTCAAGGATGCATTAGTATTTCATGATTTCCTGCTTTATTTTATAGTGATGACAGGGTTATTGAACCCTCTAAGTGTCATAAATCTTCATTTAATGAGAAATCTATTTGAGGCCATCCTTCATCTTATGATCTCAAGAAGTTTTTCTTTGATTTAGAGTTAAGAGTGGTACAACATTGGGCATTTTGACTTCAAAAAGTTTATTACTGACTGCAAAACAAGGAAAACTCAAACATCATATTATGTAAGGGGACTTCCTCTTAAGAATTTGGAATCCTACCCGATAAGCTCGAATTAACGAGGTGGGAAATAGACGGTTGTACGGAAAATTTAAAATATTTCAATGTAACATATTATAAAAACCATCCAAACAAAAGTAAGAAGAGCCACTAATTCAAAACAACATTTTATTTCATGGATAAACAAGTAGATGTAATTTTACTACAAAAAGTATGTCATTCTATTACATGACATAAAAAACAACAAAAAGAATCAGTCTCCTTGTGATTTCCTATGACGGTAGGTGAATGGCTGTCTGTCAGCAATCACAGATTAGTGGGCTCTCCTGAAAAGAATCCCACAACTAGAGTGAGCTAAAGCTCAGTAGGTAACATGCTATTCTATCAATTTAAAAAAAAAAAGATAAAGAGATATATTATGCATGCTAATTTTATGATACAGTGCAGTAATAAACTAAAGAAAGAAACAGTAAATGTATTATGCAGTAATAATTGGTGTGCTTAAGTCTGCATGTCATCTAATATGACAATTTTTCTCTTCATATGTATGTACATTTTACATTTTACATTTTTCATATTTTCCTTAATACTTTTAATGCATATAATATATTTATATCTTATGCACCTGTAATAGAGTATCAAATTTATACTAATTAAGTACACATTCAATTGGTCATTTCTGCTCCGAGGAGCCAAATTTTTCCTTTATCATATTGATACTCCATGTCAACATACACATGCAATCATACTATAACTATCGTAGGAGGGTGGCTAACATTCCATTCAAGCATATGTCCCTACCTAATATAGCGTTTTCATACATTTCTATACATATTTTAAAAGAAAAAGATATGCATTCTAAACTATCCATCACATACTGCCAAAAAATATTGCATTTAAAGAAGGAACATGCTATTGGTAAACTGAATAACAATGCTAAAGTATATGACACTTTTAAATAAAAAATTAGAGAAGCAATAAATTCTGAATTTAAAAGAATTACATTTACCTACACCAAATATAAGCAAACTGATAGGAAACACTTGTAGATCTCAAGTAATTACTATCATTCTTCGTAAAATATCGAGAAACTCTTCCAAAGTCCAATGAAAATCAGGGGAAAAAGTATATTTTATTGCAAGAAATCAACTAACGGAAGAAAAAACGAACAAGATATAGTTGATCCTCAATTCGAAAGGAGGATCGATCTCTCCAAAATCTCTAGACGCCGCTAGACCCCAAAGGAAAACCTAAATCTAAGAGATCTCAAATTTCAGCCAAATCCTAGATCCCCTAACCCTCGGAAAACAAAGTATTTAATGCATATAAATCAAAAGGAAATCCCTAAATAGTCCCTACATTCAAATTTTCCTTCGAAATCTCTCAAAAAGCCTTCCTAAAAAGCTCCATGGGCTTTGCGGCTATAGCAGGAGGCAGAGAATGCCCGCCTCATTCTTGCCTGGGCCAGTTCCGCGTGGACCGGCTGGACCAGTCAAATAATACTCCCCTCCCAAAGATCCACCTTATCCTCAAGGTGGAGATATTGATGTGATGCAAGCCTTGGAGTTACACAAGATTATAAAAAGAGAATTTACTAATAGCTTAATCGTTATAAAATCATGCATCCATTCAAAGTTGATTACAAGAGTTCTCCGTATTCCACTTGCTTAGGCAAAGAGTTGCATGGAAATTAACCAAGACAATTTAATCAAATACAAAGGGGAAGTAATGTTAAAAGCTTACCACATGAATCCAAAAATTAATAAAGAGTTGTTCACCTTGAGGACCTACTCTCTTTCCTACGAATCTAGATTGAGCGGAGGAAGATCGTCCACGATAGAAATGAGGTCACCACTAGGAGGGAGGAGCCAAGGAACGTCGTTGTTGGGAAGGTACTTGGAGGTGGAGATGGCACGGGAGGACGACTGTTGATGATCCAATCGTAGTCTAAAAATTGCTCGTCGACGACATCCACAAGGGTGGGAAGGATTCGATTCAAGTAGTCTTCGATGGTGTCGTCAAAGCCAAACCCAACGTCGAAGAAGGGAGATCGAAGGATGTGGATATCTCTGTAGACGTCGAATATGAGCCCGTGATCAACTTCGGGATCCGCCATACATGACGATGAATATTCTTGTGGGTGAGTTTGGTGGTAGACTAATTTCTCTTGGTGGAACTAGACAAGACAATGGGGAGAAGGAGTGGGCTCGGGTAGGGAGAGGGGCAGATCCACTAGGGATTTGAGGAGTTTTGGTAGAAAACTGAAGTTAATTTCAATTTTAAGAAAATTTGGAGGGAGATTAAATGAAGGGGAAATTTGAATGTCTAGTGGGGATGGGCAATTAAGTTTGAATCGCCTAAGGGGGCCGGCGGCTTAATGAGAGGGAGGGAGATTAGGGAAAGGGGTTAAGAGCTGAAATTAATTTCAGCCCAAATGGAGGTGGAAGAAAAAGGGAAAATATTTGAAATTATATTTGAATTTCAAAATATAGGAGAAAGGGTTAATTGGGCATTCAATGGGAAGCCCAATGAGGGGGTCGGCGGCATCAAGGAGGTGGGAGAAGATCTGGGAGAGGAGAGGGGGGTTTCCAAATAGGTGGAGATGACTATGAAAGAAAAATTAATAAATCCAATTTGATTTAATTTGAAATCAGATTTATCATAAACACTTTCATAATTTGGAAAAAATTTGAAATTTGAAAATCAAATTTCAAAGAATGAAGACTATGGGAGAGAGGGGTGGTGGGCGGATGGGGGATGGCCGGTGGCTAGGTGGCCGACCGGCGGTGAGAAGGCAGGCGGCGGGTGGGCTCTAAGGGGCGGCGGCAACAGTGGAGGGCTCGGCTTCTTCAAGCTCTTGGGTTTTGCTTGTGATCTTTTATGGTGGCGGGGCAAGAAACTAAGGATTGCAAATCTCAATGATTCATCCAAGAGAACTCACAAAGATATCACAAAAAGAACTCACCAAGAGATCTAAAATTGAACTCACAAAGAGAACACAAGAGCAAGAAATTTCATTCAACAATCATCCTCATACAAGGTACAAGAGTCATATATATAGGCCTCTACATGATAACCAATACAAAGACTAACATGCCCCTTGGGCTACAAAAGCAACTTACTACCCATAAGGGCCAAAAACGGAAAAAACTGAAATAGAAATGCGTAATACATAAAATGCTAATACAAATAAGCATCAATAGTAAAGACTATCCATCATGGCCATCGATCTCCTGTGTCGTCTCTGATAAACACGTCGAAATCTCCTGTCGATGTCCCCATCAGATATGCTCGTGTTCCTGTGAGAGTAGTCATTTTTGATGTGGCTGAAAAACCTTACCAAATTGTTAAATCAAGGGCTGCACTGAAAGAGAAACATCCCATCCCTTCTCCATCCTGATCACATCCAGCTTGCGTAGTCCCACTAGAAAATCTTCCCCCACCTCTTGTATGCTTCTAACCATGGTCTTAAGTGATACCATGGCTTTGGATAGTCCTGCCTCTCCCCTTATAACCACCTTTCTCCCATCCACCCTTAATTCCATCGTGAGTGCTCCCCAATTATCCTTAATTTCCCCCAAGGTTTGCAACCACTTCATCCCCAGGATGACATCAATACTTCTTAACTCTAATGGGAGAAAATCCTCCCTTACCTAAATCCACTGAATGGTCAACACCACTCCTCTAAAAATCCACTAGCCTTTCTCCACCTTCCATGTACCCATCATCATCCCATAAAAATCGGTGTCCACCAATTTCACTCCCAGTTTATTGACGACCTGAGTGGAAATGAAATTATGGGTAACCTACTGTCAATCATAACTACCACCTCCATGCCTGCTATTTCCTCCTTCACCTTCATCGTATAATTTGAAGTGAATCATACTATTAAATTCAGGGAGACCTCCGCCACATCCAGATGCAACTTGTCATCCATCTCTCGCTCACCTCCCTCTTCAGTTTTCTCGTCATCATAGACGGTGAGAACCTAAAAAGTTTGATCCCTACACCTGTGCCTTGGAGTATACTTCTCGTCACACCGAAAATATAACCCCTTTGCCCACTTCTCCTGTATCTCCTTCTCTGTCAACCTCTTGAAAATTTCCCCACCCCTCCTACTGGCTTCTCCCGGGTGGTCTCATTAATGTTCCCTGATGCAGGCCCCTTGGG